CACCGTCTCCCTGTGGAAGTGGGAGCATCGGCCTCCGAACCGAAACGCTCTCACTTCACTGTGAAATTTATTTCCACTTCCCTTTACTCGCGCACAGTTCTTTCTCGCAGCTGCGTGCCCAGCTACTAAAGGCGTTCAGTGGCAGGGCTGGGGAGAAAGCACAGACATTGTCCCCAGCTGAATGGACAACGGAATCGTTGTTCCCAGGGGCGCATTAGGTGGTTTTCCTAAAGCAGAAAATGCTGCGTGTGTGACAAAGCCAACATCTGAATCGATGCACAGTGTAAACAGCAGCTCAGCTTTTAGGCTTAACTTCGACGGTTAGAGAGGGAGCAATAGCTCTGCAAGACCAGAAGTTTGTTACTACTACGCCAGTGTTCATGACATCGTGTTCCTTCTGTTATTTTGACATTGTGAAGATTAAGAAATCACCTCTTGATGTCAGACTAATCCTGTAGCTGCATTTCTGTGCTTCTTACATACAAGCCACTAGCCTGTTAGCCTTCTGTAGAACAACACCACTTCTGCCATCACAGTGTTGCAGAACATATGCAAGACTTAGCAAGGTTTCCTTTGGCTACGACAGCCTGAAGTGGCAGCTGGCAGAATGTGACACCACTTCCAAAAAAAACATCCTTTCTTCACAGAAAGAACCACAGGCTAGTGTCCTGCAGCTGTCCCCAACCACTACACCCAGCACAGCCCTGGCAGTCAAAAGGCACCTGCCAGGGACAAGCTAAATTTTTCCTGTCAGGGGCTGTACCACCTTCAAAGCAAAAGCATTCTACCAACACACCACCGTTGCAGGGGAGTTCTGCAAGCTTTTATAGTGGCACCTGAAATACTTCCTCTCACAAAGAGACGAAGAGTTTATAGTCTGTTCCCACTAAGGTGAGTTGCTGTAGCAACTGGCAAGAGGACACCCCATTTAGGCACCACTACTGAGCCCGGATGGTTTCTAAGGGCCGTCCATGGTACAGCCCTGCCTGCTTCTTTTACTACTTTTTATGGGTGTAGTGTCAATGAATCTTCCCAATCCCTTTTGAACCCGCTGGTACTGTCTGAATCCTATGGCGATAAATGTCAGAAGCTTGCTATCTGCTGTCTGAAATACCACCTTTATCTATGTGAAATATCACCTCAATATAGTTGGTCAGTCTCTTTTAAGTGAAGGAGCAGTGCGCCCTAAGCTAGTATTTGTACAGTTTGGTGAATACTAGTTCTGCAGCCATTTGACTCGGAACTTTCAAGATTTTGTAAACGACCTTTTTTCCCTCCGTTTTCTCCTCTCCAGAATGAAGAGTCCTAGCATTTTTTGTCTCCCCTCACAAAGCAGCAGCTCCATTCCACTGATCACATTAGCTGCCCTTCTTTTAACTCCGCTATGGACTCCCTCCAGATGTAGAAACTGGAACTGCTCAATACTGAAAATGGGGGTCCATTGGTTTTACATGGCAAAGTAGCACCAGCTGTCCTGTTCGCATCGCCCTTCCGTGAGATGCCTGCCTTAGAATTTGATGCAGCTCCACTCTGTGGTGATGGTTTCAGAATTGTCAAAGATCTCTGCCCTGAGCTGTAACTGCAAGTTGCTAAACTAGAAGTCTAGTATCATGTATCTTTTGATGAACAATTTATACCACAAATGCATAAATCTATACTGGACCTCATCTACCCTTTTTGCCCA